GACTAAACTAAAAAAAAAACATATTTTAATCCTCCCTGCCTTCACCCTTCTACCTATGTTTTGACTCCAAAAGATGTGTAAACCTACATTTGATTATACCGCGCTTGAGCATAGACTCAATGCGGTGGTAGTGAAATACCTGTGTAAAATAGAATGTGTTAAGGTTTATTTCATTTCACGCGCATGCTAAGTACAGTGTGTTAACAGAGCATCCAATGATAGAACCTTGTCCGATAAGAGTAGGATATGCCTAACTTTGACCTGAATCTGCAGTATACCCATCCTCCTATCAGGAGCCTATTTTCGTAATAATTCTGTGAATCTTCAAAAGGTTTTTTGAATATGTGTCAAATGAAATTTGCTCATGTGTATTTTAATTAAGCAGTGACTTATGTACAGAGCGTGGGAAGAAGACTCTTGCTTTCAACCAAAATGAGCTTACACCCTTCACAAATTTGAAATTTTCTGACCACAAACATTTACGCTCAAGTAGCTACAAATCTTATCTTAGGCTAGTATTACATTATTTTGCCACTAGCGCCCCCACGTAACTCGGAATCCACATTATAGCTATGTTCCTAAACAACAGACGGATCACAAGAACAAAACAGGAGTATAACATATGACACGGGAAAGGTTACGAAACGAGTACCAAAAATCTACTATACTATCCATAATTCAATTAATATTATCCTTACGAGCATCAACACAATCTGCTATACTAAGCACAAGTCAATTCATAGGCCCTATCCTTTTTTTTTTTTTTTTGTGTATTTACGTGACTGACAACGAGGGCCGCCGATAATCACAGGAGGTGTCGATGGAAAAGCCGACTTCGATAACTGGTGGCGCCAATCAGCTAAATCCGACTGAATAATAACACCAAGCCAATCAGCATGAAGGATCATCAAGATGAGATGTATAACCAGAACAAGAAAAGCATATAAAAATGTGGTCACATGGGTCCATGCTTACCACAAACGCAAACATTTAATAAAAACAGTCTTATCTGTATTCAGCCTATGGACCAAATACTGTAATATATGAAAGCCGATTTTCTCCGTTTTTAACCAGCTAAATGCATTATCAACACGTTGTCTTGTATCCCGACATACAAAAGTTGTCCAAAAATTGTCTTAACACGGAGGTCGTCTTACGCGCGGTATTAAAATAAATTAAAAAATCATTGGGCCATCTAGAAATTAGAACAGTGAAATCTAGTTATTATTATGGTGTGTTTCTCGTAAAAAGAACACAACTAACACGAATAATTATGCACAAAGGAAAGCAGGACAAACGTCATTGGTAAACTAAACAAGCAAATTTTAAAGGTTGCATTGTAACTAAATCTACATTGGTGAAACGGGCAGACCATTCAAAACCAGCATAACAGAACATAAACAAAAGATGTTTCAGATAACTGTCATCACCAGAGCTACTAGGGCTTCCCTGTCTCAAGACGTACAACACAAATCAGCAGTCAAATAACACATAGTTACCAATCGTTTCGCATCGTGCGGGACGGCCCCACCCACTCCAAAGTGATTTTGGATGAACATTTTGCAGAAACACATGTGTGATCATAAAATTTGTCACGCATTTAGCATAATTCTATGCGTGATAACGAATTATCACGAATTCAGGGAAAAATGTATTTAAAAAAGGTAAAAAAGATTTGAAACCTGAAGCAGGCCGGAGTGCCCGTCTCTCTCTTACTTTAGCATTTGGGCCAGACTGTGCAAGTAAGTTGTACCTAGTGCTATATCATATTCTACAGTGAATTTACAAATATGGAATAAATTAAATTTCATTATTATTATTATTATTACTAGAGTACTGTCTAATATTACTGAAATGATTAGGTAAATAAAAATATAACATTATCATTTTATAACATATTTATTTAGTTTGGAATAAAACAGAAACTGTCTCTTATACACATCTTATAGTTTTGAGTCATTAAAGAGCTTTCAATATCTTGAAGATCAATTCATTCATCGAGATCCTGGAGGCGCGTGCTGTCTTGCGCGTTCATTGTCACAACCAACCGTTAATGTCACCGAAACTACTGTAGTTAGCGTCAGGTGTAATACTTCATTCACCGACGCATTACTAAAAATTGATCAGTAGGGGCCTATGCCTATTATTTATTTATTTATTTTATTTATTTATTTATTTTTTTGGAGTAATGAAATGTTTGTGTACATAGTTCGGGTTCTGAAATTAAACATAGGCCTATAATGTACATTGAAACTCACATTGTACATGGCTTTATTAAAAATATTTTTTTTATTATATACCCGGTATTGTCAACAAACACTCCCTGAAATCGTTTTTAAACAGCTTAAAAATGCTCAGATCGTCGGGGCACCAGGGGGCCTCGCTCATTCCGCCCTGGACCCCGAAAGAGGCCCTGGTTCCTCCTGCCCCAGTAAACTGGTGTAGATCACGCATCTCTCAGGTTGTTAACTATGAGATCGTATGATTAAAGTCAATCATATCCCCGACTGGCAAGGTTCACTAGTCATCAAAACTAAGTGCAACAGACAAAAAAGACAAATTCGAGAGACTTTTTGGATACGAAAACATGGAAACAGCATGAACAGAGGAGAACTAGGCGCATTACAAACGACTAATCTGTCCTGAAACTATTGGTAGAGGGCGGCCCACAACACCGGGAATCGTCAACAACTAGACAACCAGTCCAGTCATTGTCTGATGAATCCGTTAATAACGGATTGAAACGTCAATATCAGTACGTATATTTAATGGTTTACTTACAAAAAAATTTCCATGTTCATTTAATTTCATCATACCTTTATTCTTGAATTAACAGTACAACCTAAAAATACACTTCCATAGATAATAATTGTAAATTCATTAGCTCTCCTGTTAACATGACTGTGTGTGGGAAAATATTTGCCTCGGGCCAGCTTTCTTCATGAAGGTTCTCTCTTGAACCGAAAGGTCCACTGATTAATCTCAGATAAAGTATAATACATACTCCAACTATTGAAATCCACGCCATCGTGTTGGATTCAATATTTCGACATTAATTATGTCATCATCAGGAATTCTCTCTTGTCTAACTAATAAAAGCTTGCTACTTCAAATGCCCCCAAAGGAAAATTGCTCAGCAAAAACAATTTCAACCCACGCCCTCTATTATAAAGTGCACAGTTGAAGAACACCACCTTTCGCTGTAACCTCAAGGCACATACATAAGGAAATACCCCTTTACTCGCATTGCACCCTTTATGTCTTTTTTTTTCATCGGTCTTCCTTGTGGGTTTACTTTAGCCGTATTTCTGTTTTCCTTATAATATAAATTTTTAACGATTAATACGTAACTCTGTGTCCAATGTAAAACAAAACCAAGGAAATCAAAACTAATAAATCAAACGTATATAATTAAAAAAATTTACAGAAATTAACTGAGTAAACTTAAAAAAAAAACATGTTTTAAACCTCCCTGCCTCCACCGCCCTTCTGCCTATGTTTTGACTCCAAACCCATTACTAATTTTAAAATGCATTCCCGACCCACCCTAAACCCTACCCCCAATTGATAATTAAACAATTAAAACGACTCAACGGAAGGAGAAAATGAAAACAAATTGACATATTAAGATTAAGCATCTTTCCGGATCTCTCGAACTCTACTCCCTCTTCCAACCAACCACCAATACCAACGCAGTGAAGAACCTATTAGGCTAATATATATTTTTTGTAGACTGGTATAGTTTTTGATTAGTTTGTTTATCTTCGTGAGAACTTGATAAAATTTGATTAACAATAATAAACAATTTCGAATTAGAAAGAACTTGAAGGTCTTCCAACTTTAGTACAATGTCAATGATCTATAACAGAATTCTTCTACGTTGGGTTATACCATTTTACTAATCTCATGAAGATTGTAAGCATCACCATAACAGTAGTTTAATTGTAGGAATTTAAGTAAAAAAATTAATTCAACAACAGCAATTACTTTGACAATTTAAACCTAAAATACTTTTAAAAGAATGACATTGAAAATTGCTAATAACATAACCTGACTGGATATAGCCTTGATTCAATGGCACTTGTATTAGTAATGCATCGTTTATCTTAGCGTTGCCGCAAGTGTAAGTTTAACCACATAAAATTCATGTGGTTGATATGCCTATTACTATATAATACCACTTTATAGTGTTAATTATCGTACATAAAAACGGAGTTGCTGGTTAAAAAAGTTTAACACTGCAAGTATTAGAATTTGACTTATTTTATGATTTTCCAATTTGCTTTTACTAATTTCTGCTTAAAAGAATCCAATGTAAAACAGAATTAATAATAAGTGTCAAAGATCCGATACTAGTACTCATAACCGTTATTATTATTTTAATAATCATACTCATCATCATTATCGAAGTCGCCATCATCATCATTGTCAATATCGCCATCATCATTATCATTATCAAAATCACCATGATGATGATGCATCATCACACAGAAATATATTAATTACAAACATCATACCATAGGATCTTCATAATGAATGTGTTTTTATTCATAATTAACAAATAGCCAATGCGTGTTTGTAGCGTACACAATACGAATTCAATTGTGTGTCTGGATTAATAATTGAATGTAGTTGCCGATCGCGGTTACTATGACAACGCGCACATATCCAAAATAATTGATCGCCTCAGAGAAAAATGAACTTAATAACGTTAGTTAAAATAATTCAAATGCATATTGCTTGCATACCATTGTGCTCTTTGTTAACCTGATGATTTCAAAGCTATAATCAAAATCGGCAGTATTATCAAAACGCAAATGTCACCACAATATAGGCCTACCGTATTAAGGCAGTTAATGCGTATATGTATTGTATTATAGTAAATTTCTGTGTGTGTGTGTGTGTGCGTGTGTGTGTACAGTGTCGTATCTAGAAGTCTTGAAATGATTAGTTGAGGGGCGCTAATTCGCAAAATAAGGTGATTTCAGGTGACTTTTAACTACTTGACCTTGATATTTTGGGGTGACTGGGGGGTGGAGGCGCGAGTAATTTTTTTGGGGGTGGGGGCGTGCGCACCCCCTAGTTACGCCACTGTGTGTGTAAAGCAGACTCAAATACTGTATTTCGTTATACACAGCCAATAAAATTATCTTGTATTTTATAATTTTATAAGCCATTGTAGTTATAAAATACATAATCATAATTTAGGCTTCTCAGATACACAATATCGATATGAATAACAATTTGTTCTGTATATCGATTGGTTTATATGAATTTAAATACAGTATAATAGTTATAACTATAGTGGTATCTGTCTATGAGCATATTATGTTACCTCTTATTACAAATATTTCCTTTGTAGTTATGACAGTTACCGTAGGTTTTAAATTATTGAATTTTTTTTAAGTACAGTATCTGGATGGGTCTGCTACAACGTCCACTGAACAATTGTTAAAAACCATATATTAGCATTTACCTAAAAAAATTCTTTGATAAATACGTTTTAAATGAAAATAAATAATGAAAACAAAATCTGTCAGACATTTTTCTGACAGAAAATACTCCAATGGATTAAAAATTCATTTAATGCTTGGTTTTATTGTTGTGTAATAAAAGAAGCTTTCTTTTTGAAATGTTTTAAAATTTATTTTGTTCGAATAACTAAAATGGTCGGTAAAACAATAGAATAATCATTAACATGTTTTTACTAATGTTAAACTACAGTATCTATATTTGAACATCGTCATCTGAAAGACAGTTTGTTAAGAGTATAAGAGATGAAGACCAAGAAATCACTTGCATTGTCATTATTACTCCGGTCATTCATAAGGATCCACCCAATAAGACACTATGATGAAGTAATTTGCATTAAAATAGGTGACGCCTTGGCTATTCTAAGGAGGAGCGCGAACGCACTAGTACCTTTGTCTGTCACTGAAGCGGAACTAAATTGATAATATTTGAATCTCTACTTGGACTTACATAAAGACAAGCAATACGTACCAAGAAATCATCATATCCAGTCAAGGAAGGAAAAAAGACACACACAAATGATAATAAATCAGAAGATGCGTACCCTAAATCTCTTGATACTCAAGATGCTCTTTATTTTCTTCTCAACGACAAGAGCTGAAAATGGTAAGATGTCTTTCATTTCTGCGATTTTATGACGATTACTGTCGACAAAATCTACTCATCCTACTGTCGTTGGCTTTAGGTCTTGACTTATTGTTAAGAATACTGTTGGAAATATTACAGTATTTATTGGATAACACTTTTATAACAGTGGCACACGTTAGACAAAATTCTAACGGTGCATCCAGAAAAGAACAAAGCAACAAAAATAAATTCTTAACTATAAGAGAGATTTACAGATAACTCAAATAACATTTATTGAGTTTTTATTGGCAAAACTCCAAATGTCACATTTTCTAGGCCTACTTAGAAAATGCTAACGACTCAAGGCATTGAACTTATGTTGCCAGATACTAGGATATGCTTTTCTTTATATTTTATGTATATTGGCCTCATCGGCTATAAAAAAGTAAGTCAGTTTTGCATTAATCATAACCTTATCTTTCTTGATGTTTTATTAATTTTGCTTTTTAACTATAGATTTTAATAAATACTGCTTAATGGCGGGTCTCTAGAATCTGTGATGAGTTTCACAATCTTTTCTTTCTGGTTTTCAACTAAAATCTACGAATTGAATTATATATTTTTTATTGTAGTAGAAAATATCAACACAGACTCATTAACTTGGTTGCTTTGTAATTTATATGGGTTTATACCTACAATTTATGAAAAAATTGTTGAAATACAAGATGTTTTGCTGATTATGTTGTCCACAGTCTAAACAGAAATGCGTTAATGTTTGCCAAAGTACAGTATGGTTTATTGAATCAAAGGGAAATTCAAAATATTTAATACTACATTGTATCATCCTTTAATTTTTGTACCGTATTTGGTAGCACGAACGAACCACTGGATTATGACCGGTTGAGCCGCCGACAGGTTGAGCCGCCGGTCGTTTCTATGAAACGCCAAGCGCGTCTCTCAGTGAATGTAGTGCGTTAATTGCTGCGTATTGCAATTAACTTATTCGTTATTTGTACTATTTTGTTTGGGGAGTATTTCAATTAATTTACTCGTTTTACTGTTTTATTATATATTTTTGGGGCGTATTTCAATTTATTTACTCGTTCTTGGTGCTGTTGTTTGGGATGTATTTCAGTTTATTAAATCAATTATTTCAATTTATTTAATACTCGGTTTTTGCACTGATTTATTAAATATTTTTGGGGCGTATTTCAATTTATTTACTCGTTGTTTCTATTGTTTTAATTTAAATTTTGTGAGTATTTGCTCAGTCGGCTTGCCAAAAGGCCTATGTTATTATACAGTATTTACTATGATTTTGTAATTTATATATTTTTATTTTTGTACTATTTGTTAAACTTATATATAATAAATGAAAGAATGTATGGAGTTTCTGTTTTTTACTATCTGGCAAGCCGACTGAGCAAATACTCACAATTTAAATTAAAGAAATAGAAAGAACGAGTAAATAAATTGAATAGAGCATTAATAAAACAGTAATAAGTAAAATTAGTAAAACCAATTTGATTTTAAATAGACAGATGACTATAAACAATAAATTTAAATGTGTTAGGCCTATGTTATTATACAGTATTTACTATGGTT